GTCCACTGGAGAGGCCTGGTTGCTCGTCTGCTCCCTTTAGACTATGGTCCTGCATTTTAAACTTTTATTTTACCTGCAGAAAGGTTTATTCGTGACTTTCTGTGGACTGTAAAAGCCATGCTACCCCAGATAGCTATGCCATGGAGCCCAGCCGTATACTGAAAGACTGTATGAAAGACTTTTTAGCTCCATGGCGATTGAACTGTATGTATGTGATCTGAGCACCATCCGGTAATAATGTGCGCTCAGATCTAAGCTATCTGGGGATAGGTAGAATGTGTATGTTCTATGTGATAAATGTAACCATATGTATGTTTATGTCTTTTATTGTCCTTTGTCTGCCATGTGTTCAATGGAGTTTTGTCTCTGTCCTGGAGATAATTGGATTACTTCCCAATTATCTCCAGGATATAAGACTCTGTGGAACTGGTTTTGGGCAGAAAAGCCATGCTGCATTTGGTCTAGTAGGACTTTTCCTTAACTTTTTAACCCCTGGATGGAATTGGCTGAATTTTGGTTATGTTTATATTTAAAGTATGAATTGCCTGAATTTTGGTTATGTTTATATTTAAAGTATGCTGATTCTGAATATGTATGTTTTATGTGAATATGATGCATATTTTTAAAGTTACAGTGTATGTATAAAAAGTGTATTTTTCCTGCCTGTGATAAATTACATTAACCCATTGTGTTCAGTAATTATATCACAGGCAGAGTGGAGGGATGTATGTTTGTGCTGGGTGTGTTTTACGGTTCTCCTGTAAATGATTGGTTGTACTGTGTCCCACCCTGTGGGATGTCCCCTTGCATGGTGACTTGCATAAAAGCCAGTGTGTGGCCATTACAGTGGAGTTCCTGCTTAACACTCAAAGTGAAGTGTTGTCTCATTATTGGGGGAGGATTTATCGTATGCTGTTCCAGTTTGGCTGCTAGGAGTGTAAACCTATTCGCATGGTTTTTCCTATTCGGCTGTATACAACATTCAAATGCTTGAGAGCATTCATATGCTCATACGGTTCGGTGGTTTTGGTGTCTGCTGCAGTGCTTG